CCCCTGGGCAGCCGCGCGGGCAGCGACTTCGCTTTAGCCCGGCTTCCCTTATCCTTGGCTTCTGTTCTGGTTGGTCCCCCCTCCCGCTCCCGTACTCCTTTCTAGAACAGGCCTGCTGGAGTTTTGTGAACCTTTTGAGAATGTCGCCTTCAGTTGCACTTTTTTTTTGAGTCAGGGTTTCACTCTGTCGCCCAGGCTGGTGAGTGCAGTGGCACGCTTACGGCCACCGCAGCCTCGACCTGCTGGGCTCAGGCGATCCTTTCACCTCAGCCTTCCAGGTAGCTGGGGCTACAGGCGCGCGCCACCACGCGGCTGATTTTTTGACTTATTGTAGAGACGAGGTCTCACTACGTTGCCCAGGCTGGTCTCGAACTCCTGGGCTCAGGCGATCCTCCCGCCTCGACCTCCCAAAAGTGCTGGGATGACCGTCGCCAGCCCCTGAGCCCAGCCAGTTGCGCTTCATCCCCCAGCCCCAGCCCCCTCAGCCCCCCACCCCCCACCCCTCCGGGTTCGAATCTCCTGGATCTTAGGTGGAACTGTGGTTCTGACTTTGCAGATGGTCAAGGCAGATGCCCGTACCTTCATCTTTAAAGTATTGTCCATCTGTGGAGTGGAGAAATTGTAGTGTCTTAAGTGGGTGAATTTTGCATCTAGGTTGAAGTCAAGCATCCTTTCTGTTTCCTAAGGGGTGTTTGCATTTCTTTTTCGGTAAAACTGCCTTTTCGTCTTTACCTGGCTTTTTAAAGCATGGAGTTTGTAATCTTTTCCTCGTTTGAAGTAGGTGTTTGAATATTGTCCGTCGTATATTTTTCTCACCTTGTCTTTAGTTCTGTTTTTTTTTACTCTGCACAGTTTTTTGTAGCCATTCATTCGTTGTTTTTTTTTTTTCTTTTAAGAAAAAAAAGACCGGGCTTGGTGGCTGAGCCTGTAATCCCAGCACTTTGGGAGGCCGAGGTGAGAGAATTGCCTGAACCCACGGGTTTGAGACCAGCCCTGGCAACTTGGCAAGACCTCGCCTCTACAATAAATAAAAAATTAGCTGGGTGTGGTAGCACACACCTGTAATTCCAGCTTCTTGGAAGGTTGAGGCAGAATGATCGCCTAAGCCCAGCAGGTCGAGGCTGCGGTGGCCGTGAGTGTGGCACTGCACTCCAGCCTGAGCGATGAAGTGGGACTCCAACTCAAAAAAAAAAAACCCCAAAAAACGAAAGAAAAAATGGCTAGCTGCATGTCCCAGTGCTGTTTCTTGAATACCCTTTAAAAAAAAACTGATTTAAAATGTGGAGTCTCTAAAAAAAAGTGTTAGTCTGTTGGGCATTTCTTATTACCAAACTATTTTGATTCCCCTGGCATTTGTAACATGGTTTGGCTTTGAGATTTTTTCACTAGTAACTTCTATTTTATTAGTACTGAAGAATGAAACAAGATCCCAAATTCCTCTACTTTAATGTTTTTGTGAACTAAGTAAGGGTGATTCCTAACTAGTGGATGACTTCAAATCTCTTAACTTTTAGGAAGGACTAATGTGCACTTGGAGCAACAGAAATTCTGTCGCTAGCATCCCCTTCACAAACAGTTCCCAACAAAATCCTTCCTTTTAACAACACAGGCGTCGGGCAACCTCTTTGCGTCCCCTCTCATTGTGGGAGCTTTCTGTTTTCTCAGTAAATCCTGATTTCTCACTAAAAAAAAAAAAAAAGACACAGGCATTGGCTTCCAGTGGAAGCTGTTAGGAGGTGCTTCTTGTCATTTGCTTTGTTTTTGGAAAAAGTATGTTTCAGAATACACAATGTATTTGTTCTCGAAATGAGTTATGTCGTGCTAAAATTAAGTTGTATTTTCTTACAGACCTTTTCATTTTTATCATTTCAAATGTAGCTTCTCCATCTCCACTTAAGAATATATAAGCAGATATTTCTTTTATTTTTATTTTTGAGTTGTAGTCTCACTCCTTCACCCAGGCTGGGGTGCAGTGGCACGCACGCTCACGGCCACCCCAGTGTCGACCTTCTGGCTCCAGCGATCCTTCCACCTCAGCCTTTCGAGTAACTGGAACTACAGATGTGCACTACCACGCCCGGCTATTTTTTAATTTTATTGTAGAGATGAGGTCTCGCCAAGTTGCCCAGGCTGGTCTCGAACCCATGGGCTCAGACAGTCTACTCGCCTCAGCCTCCCAAAGTGCTGGGATTACAGGCTGAGCTTCCGAGTTCGGCCAGCAGATATTTAATTGACTATTTTTAGTGTATATTCTGTTTAAAACAAAGTATAAGTCAGTACTTTTCCAAATTTAAAAAAAATTTATGATCTAGACAGTTGTCATTCCCAAATTGCTTAAGATTCCCAGTCTTCTTAAAGGAGAAATTTGTGTTAAGTCAAAGTTTGTCTAGTTGAAAGCTTTTCCAGATATTTTAAGTGCATCATAATGAAATAAAAAATATAGTGGGTAATAATTGGATGGATTTGCTCTGCAGAGTACATCAAGTTAGGGAAAAAAATGAAGATCCATTCCATGGACCAAGGAGCAGAGCACATAGTAGTTCTGTCCTCAGAGGGAAAACCATTCGAGTACAGCTATGGCATGGAACAAGTGAGGTAGGGAACTTTCTCTCTATTATTAAAAATTATCTTAATTTTACTCAAAGGACAGTAATAATTATTGTAGGGAAATGTCACCATATATTAGTCTTATCCCTTGCTTCATATAGTCGCATCTTAAGTAGATGATGAATTCTGAACAGTCCAGTGAAGTCCATCAGTATACCACTTACCATGTGTCTCCTAGGGCAGGTGTCATGTGTTGGCTTTAAATAGTCAGTCTGACTGGTCCTAAACTGGACTTTCACATTCATTAACTCATTTGATCCTCACAGTAATCCTGTAAGTTAAGTTTCCAGAAATAAAAGTTTTCAACCTAGAGGAAAAAGAAATGCATTATCATAGAATGGATTCATGAGATTTTTCCTGATAGATCATATAAATTAGAACTTATTTTCATCTTGCATTTATTTCTGCATTATAAAAATATCATTTGCATATGAATATTTTATAATCATATTATTATGTAATGCACGTAATTTTCTTCTTAAACTACTAATAAAACACATAGTGGGCAACCCCTTTGGGTTCCCTCCCGCTGTGGAAGCTTTTCTGTCCTCTCAATAAATCCTACTTTCTCAAAAAAACAAAACAAAATACATAGTATTTAAAAAATAATTATATATGTACTGCAGGTGAAGTAGCAAATTTAAAGTTTTTCTTGAGTTTCATTCCTAAAATACAATTGATAGTTCTAAAATCTTTGTTGTGATTTTCATTATGATAATTAACATAAGATGTATTTTCTTTCATCAGATTTCAAAGCATTTTACAAGAAAAAAACATAATTCAAATCACATGTGGAGACTATCATTCTCTTGCACTCTCAAAAGGTATTTTTCTGGAATATTAATCCTTTTTAGAAATAATAAATGTGTATATGTGTACAGGCAATAGAATGTATATAACCTCACTTTGTAACAGTACAGAAATATGGTTTTGAATTTGATTTGGTTCAGAGTACTGTTCTTTTTTTTTTTTTTGAGTAGGAGTCTCACTCCTTAGCCCAGACCAGAGTGCAGTGGCACGCTCCTGGCCACCGCAACCTCGACCTGCTGGGCTCCGGCGATCCTTCCCCCTCAGCCTTCCAAGCAGCTGGAACTACAGGCATGCGCTACCATGCCTGTCTAATTTTTTTGATTTACTGTAGAGATGAAGTCTCGCCAAGTTGCTCAGGCGGGTCTCGAACCCGCGGGCTCAGGCAGTCCACTCACCTCAGTCTTCCAAAGCGTGGGATTACAGGCTGAGCCACCGAGCCCGGCTAGAGTACTGTTCTTAAAGGAGATACAAAATAAGAGAATTCTTGAGTCTGTACAGTCTTGAGATTTTCATAGTTAATATTCCATGTTTTTATTTTTCAAGTACAAAACAGTAAAAATTTTCTAAATAATCAGAATCATTCTTGTGAATCTGATGCAGACCTGGGTTCCCCTTTTCTGGAAACTTCTTTCCTTTTCCTAGGACTCTTCCAGCTCAGAATCAGGTCAGGAGCTCAGAATTCCCTGAGTCTGTATGAGGCCAGGTTCAAGCCTCTGGTGTATTTCATGTTAGCTTTGGAATTCACAGGTTCTCCCCAGACCTTTTAGCATTTCCTATCAGGTACTGTAATGGTGGGAAATAGAAGGAGTGAATATGGATTGTTTTCTAAGAAATCTGACTGTGAAAGGAATAATTAAGACAGAAGGGTGGCAGAGGATTAATAAATTGTTAATATATTGGATAGATGTTCATAAACTGAGTGGAAGCTGGGATTTGAGGGACATTAATAATTAGCAGGTATTTGACCTACACTGAGTCCTGTTGAGATTTGAGTGTATGAACTTGTATTGGAAACAAAAATTGGTTATTTGACTTCATCTATTCATGAACAAATATTTCATAGTATCTGTTATATTCAGACTATGAAGATGAAACAGACACACCCTGCCTTTAAGAAGCTCAGGTCTAGTGGTATATGTGCAAAAGGAAGGGAATATTCAGGGTTTATTATTGATAAATAAAAATATAGAAATTAAAGTAGGGGTTGGGCATGTTGGCTCACACCTATAATCACTGAGGCAAGAGGATTGCCTGAGCCCAGAGGTTCAAGACCAGCCTGGGCAACTTGGGGAGACCCCATCACTATAAAAACAAACAAACAAACAAAAAAAACAATTAGTTGGGGCTTGGTGGCACTTGCCTATAGTCCAGAAGGTTCACCTGAGCCCAATTGGTCGAGGCTACAGTAGCCATGAGCGTACCACTGTACGCTAGCCTGGGTGACAGAGTGAGACTCTGGCTCAAAAAATATATATAAAATAAGGGAAAAAAAGTTGGAGAAGAAAGAAAGAAAACTACTCTTGCTCATCATTACATTCCTGGTGGCTGATAGGCACATGATAATTCTGTTTGGAGGAGAGACTGCTTCCTACCAGACCCTGCACAGTATCTTGCAAAGAGGTGCTCAGTAAACATTAATTCTCTGATGTATTTTTTCAGACTCCATTAGATATTGTTAGCTCTATTAGATAACATTAGGAACTGTCCCTGAAAAATATGCTTCATGTATTCAGTTAATGAAAGAAGAAACTGACTCTTTCAAGAACTGTGCTGTACTTTCAAATGAATTTCTAAGTTGTTTAGTTGGGAGCTTTAGGCACATGAGAGGGAGGGAGATAGAGAAAACAGTAGTTGTAGATTTTATTTTCTCAGAGGTAGAAATCATGTGGGTGTTTTAAAGTAATTATTTCTTGAATTTGATTTTAATATGTTCAGATAGCTTCATTCTACCCTTTGTGAGAGAGATAAGGAAGTATAGTTGTTAATACTAAAGAGAAGATTCTATGTTTTTCTGAGTTAGGCATATGAGATCTGAGTGTTCTATTGGTGCGAAGGGAGAGATTGTGATAGTGACTATGTAGTGCATATATAATACCCTAGGGTATTGTCTGCTGCATTTTAAACTTAGTAAGACAGGATTTTCTTTTGTTTATGTCAAGGTGGTGAACTTTTTGCCTGGGGACAGAACCAACATGGCCAGCTTGGAATTGGAAGGATGTTTCCCTCAACCTGCACACCACAGATTGTGGAAGACCTGGCAGGAGTGCCCTTGGTTCAGATTGCTGCAGGAGAAGCCCACAGCATGGCCTTATCTATGTCTGGAAACATTTACTCATGGGGGAACAATGAATTTGGACAACTAGGCCTGGGCCACACTGAGAGTAAGGAGCATATTCTCAGATTCATGCTATCAATACATGTATTTGTTAGATAAGAGATGCATTTAACACGGAGTTTTCTGTCTTCACTTACATTTGCACTATTCTTCCTAATTACCTCTCTGTCTTCAGGGTGGTATCAGTCCAAGAGCCGTGTGGAGTGTGCATATTGTTACTGTAATTGAGACACGTTTCAGGGTATGTGTGAAAAGGGAAAGTACACTGGATTAGGGGATCAGAAACCTGGATAGTGATTCCCACTTTGCTGTTTTCTACGTGCAGGGTCTTACCCAGTCACTTAACTTTTGCTATGCCTTACTTTCTTTTCCTGTAAAGCGCAATTGGATGAGGTGACCTCCAAGGTACCTTTTCACTTAAAGTCTATTAATATAATCATATTGTTAGAAAAGGATACTAACGTTCTATTAGGAAACTCACATATTCTGATCTTATTCTATAAGGAACCAATTATGTCTGTATACACAGACACACACATACATACACGTACGCACACATGCACATGAAAAAACATGTAATTCTCATTATTGAACAAAGCAGATGGCAAAATGTCTCATGATCCCCAACAACTTTTTAGAGTTTTTAGGTATAATAAATTCGCTGCTTTGTCTAGCGATGGTTTGTATGTATTACCCTGGATCCACTGGTTAGACACCGCATTTCTCCCTGACACCGTCCAGTGCTCATTATGTGGGGTAACACATTAGCCAGTGTTAGAAAAATATCCAGAGGAGAGAAGAGGATAAAGCGTCCATTAAATTATTTTTGCTGAACCTCTGAGTGCTTCGACAGGGAAGTAATCATGAAGGAAAGATGATGTAGTAAGAGGTGAAGACACTGTAGTGAATAATTTAAAAGAAAAAAAGGAGCTTTAAGTTCATTAAAATAATTTTGGATGAGAATTGAACATGTCTGATGTACTGCAGTGAAAGTTAATGAAGCCAGGTAGAAATGAGCAGAGCGGGCTCTGGGTTGTGACTTGATCTTTTACACGTAGGTGTCCTTAAGTGTGACCTATAGGCACCTTGGAGGCCACCGCACCCAAACTTGTCACCTCCCACCTTTAGACCTAGAACTTGGGCCCAAATATGTCAATATAGAGCCTTTCTTGTCAGCATGTGATGGGAACTGCTGTCTCTGGGTTGAGAGGAAGTAGTCCAGGTAACCCTCCTGTGAAGCTCAGCATTTCCTTTTGGTCACTTCACCTATTTTTTTTTCTCTTACATAGATAAAGATTCTCCTTCCCTTATTGAAAAACTGGACAATCAGGAAGTTGAATTTCTTGCTTGTGGTGGCTCTCACACTGCCCTGCTCACACAGGTAATATACCCTTGTCTCTTTTTGACTGTATTTCTGGAAGAACATTTTGGATGGCAAATTAGTGTTTCCCAGGGAAGAAAAGTTTTCACTTCCCATACATAGGACTGTCCTGGTAATTTGTGACTTTTTTTGAGTTAGGGGCTCACTCTGTCACCCAGCTGGAGTTAATTGGCATGATCATGACTCACTGCAGCCTCGAACTCGGGTTTAGGTGATCCTCCCACTTCGCCTCCTGAGTAATTGGGACTACAGGTGTGTGCCACCATGCCTGGCTAATTTTTAGTTTGGTTTTGTTTTTTATAGAGACAAGGTCTCACTGTGCTCCCCAGGCTGGTGCTGGGATTATGGGCCTGAGCCACGCACCTAGCCTTTAGCTTGTTTTTATTAATTATTCACTGATGCAGAGGCGTCAGCAAAAATTACTTATGTATTTCTCTAGTATCTGATATGAAGTTCTTTTTCCTTAGGATGGGCTGGTGTTTACTTTTGGTGCTGGAAAGTATGGGCAACTTGGTCACAATTCAACACAGAACGAGCTAATTCCCCGTTTGGTGGCTGAGTTTGTTGGAAATAGAGTGAGCCAGATAGCATGCGGAAGGTAAGTTCTAAACCATCAGTGACAATTTATAAAATGAGTACAATAAACTAGATAGTAATGTAATTAAATTTCCATCAGTTTCTTTGAGGTATAAGTATCAAACATTTTTAAATGGGTGAAGGTGCTTTGTTTACATTATTAGATGATCACAATAAACCATTTACTGTACGCATTTATTTTCTTTGATTTTTAAATGAGCAAATACAATTCACTTTCTGTTGCCTCTTTAGTGAAATTCCCTTTTAATGATTCAGATGCATTTTAATCTTTGATAAAAATAAATTGTTATTTATTTGGGAAAAATAAAGTATGAATCACAAAGGATTTTTCATTAATGTAATCACCATCTCTCACAACCTTTTGGGGTAACATACTTTTCAGTTACCATAATTCTTTCATAGTAGCCTACTTTAATCACATTAAAGTATAAGACAGAATCAGTGGTGGTCTGAGTGTAATATTCCTGAGTAGTTTGATTTTTTTCTTTTTTTTTTTTTTTTTTTGAGTTGGAGTCTCACTCCATTGCCCAGTCTGAAGTGCAGTGGCATGCAATGATCCTTACACTTCAGCCTTCCAAGTAGCCGGAACTATAGGCGTGTGTGCTACCACGCCCGGTTAATTTTTGATTTATTGTAGACACGAGTCTTGCCAAGTTGCTGGGGCTGGTCTTGAACCCGTGGGCTCAGTCAGTCGACTCACCTCGGCCTCCTAAAGTGCTGGGATTACAGGCTGAGCCACCTAGTAGTTTGATTTTTTATTTTTATTTTTTGAGTTGGAGTCTCTGTTTCCCAGGCTAGAGTGCAGTGGCATGCTCCTGGCTTACCGCAGCCTCGACCTGCTGGTCTCAGGTGATCCTTATGCCTCAGCCTTCTGAGTAGCCAGAACTTCAGGTGCACACTACCACACCCAGCTAATTTTTTTATTTATTGTAGAGTCAAGGTCTCACCATGTTACCCAGGCTGGTCTCAAACGCGTGGGCTCAGGCAGTCCTCTCGCCTCAGCCTCCCAAAGTGCTGGGATTATAGGCTTGAGCTACCGTGCCTGGCTGAGTGGTTTGATTTTTACAGCTCATTTAAAAAATATGTTAGGAGGAGTGAGGACCACCTAGTATCCCAAACTTCACCTGCATGCAGCCTGCTTATATAATAAATCCTCACTTGCACCCCACAATTCTATAATAAATAATATATATATAAATAATAAAAATGAAAAAATATTTTCCTCTAGATAATGCTTATTCTTTCTTCATTTATTTATTTTTAAATTTTATTTTAAAGATGTGGGGTACAATTCAGGGTTAGGTATACAAATGTTGATTATGCAGGTACTCTTGTTGATGAGGTGTGCCCTTCCTTCCCCTAGCAGTTTGCCTCAACTGCCAATCCCACACCCCCCCATCAGTTTCCCACTACTACCGATCCCTTTCTTATAGTATATGATAGTTGTTCAAGGTCCGGTTATGAGTGAAAACATATGGTACTTTGTTCTTTGTTTCTGTGATAGGTCACTGAGTATGATCGAATCTAAATCCATCAAGGTTGTTGCAAAGTCCATATGTTTGTCCTTCTTTATGGCTGCATTGTATATATGTACCACATTTTTGAAATCTAGTCCAACTTTGTTGGTTCCATGTTTTTCCTATTGTAAATAGAGCGCAACAAACATACATGTGCTGGTTTTTTTTTTTGTAGAATGATTTGAGTTCCTCTGGGTATATTCCCAATAAGGGAATTGCTGGGTGCTGGGAAGGTCACTCTCTAGTTCTTTCAGAAATTGCCACACTGTCTTCCAAAGAGTTTGCACTAGGTTGCATTGCCAGCAGCAGTGTAGAAGCATTCCTTTTTCTCTTCATCCTTGCCAGCATCTGTTGTTGCTTGTTTTATTAATGATGGCCATTCTTATTGGGGTTAGGTGGTGTCTCAATGTGGTTTTGATTTGCATTTCTCTGATGATGAGTGAGGCTGAACATTTTTTTATGTGTCTGTTGGCTGCCCATATATCTTCTTTTGAGAAGTAGATACACTTATTCTTTTGGGCAGTTTTTTTCCTTGTTTAACATAGAACAAATTCAGCTCTTATAACATTGAGTTCATTTGTTCAGCAAAACCCTTTCTGTGAAAAACTAGTGTACATACTTTCAGACTATAGACATAGTTTTATGATCTCAGTAAAATTACATAAAATGACTAATATTATTAAAGTAAACTAGATTATTAAAATAAGATCCTCTTCACCAAAGAAACATTCTCTTTGGACCGGCTGCGATGGCTTGTGCTTGTAATCTCAGCACTTCAGGAGGCTAGGGCAGGAGGATTGCTTCAGGCCAGGAGTAAGAGACTAGCCTGGAAAACACAACAAGGCCTCATCTCTACAAAAAAATTAAAAAATTAGGCATGGTGGCACACACATGTAGTCCTAGCTACTCAGGAGACTGAAATGGGAGAATTGCTTGAGCTTAGGAGGTGGAGGCTGCAGTGAGCTATGATTGTGCCAGCGCATTCCGGCCTGGGCAACAGAGTAAGACCTTGTCTCTAAAAAGATAAATTTTAAAAAAGAAATGTTCTCTTCATATTGATAACTTGTTTTCATTCATTACCTCTTAACCAAAGCAGCAGTATCTCTCCTTTGGATTCTCCATTATATATTCCTCTGAGTAGCATGTATTCCAAGAGAAGGAGGCCAGGTAGAGATATGTCTTCTTGCCAACCAGTACAGCCCCCCTCCTAACAGGAGAGTTCTCTGGAAGGAAGCACAAAACTGACTGAAAGCCATGATACTCAGAGTCACTTTATAAGAAAAGGACGGAAACTAGTCCCAAAGGAGACACATAGGTTGAAGGTTAGGGAGAGCTCCAAATGCCGAGCTCCCTGTTGAACCACCTGTCAAGTGTGGTCCCAGGGCCCTCCATGAGTAACACAGACTCTCTATCACTTGGAAAATTCTGCGTGTGTAGAGGTTACCTCCCAGAAATGGGACAGAAGCCAGACCCCTCTCTGGGCAAGGCTAAGTTCCTTGCTACACACCAGTGTAGTGGGAAAGACCAGTGAGCAAATCAGTATGAAAATTAGTGTGATTTAAGTCCTTGGGAAATTGAATGAGAGTTCCACTACTTGTTCTTTCAGGATGAGGAGAGGAGGGACTCAACATGGCTCCACAAGGTGGTAGCTCAAGCTGAGGCTTAAAAAGCATCAAGAGGCAAGGGAAGCTGCTTGTTCCTAACAGAGGGAACACCATTTGTCAACGGTGACACCATTGTCTGAGAGGCTTTCAGGTTCCAAGCCTTCTCAGTCACATAATGACTTCTTGGTTTCCAGTGGTTTTTATACTTTGAAAGCTAGTTAATTAGTTTTATTTTCACCGGGTAACCTAATTTTACTGTATTGCTAAATACTGTCATCATTGTGATAATCAATAATTGACCATAGGTGCTTTTATTTAATAGGTCACACACACTTGCCTATGTTTCTGATTTGGGAAAGGTCTTTTCCTTTGGTTCTGGAAAAGAAGGACAACTGGGAAACGGTGGGACATGTAATCAGCTGATGCCACTTCCCATGAAATTACCATCAAATGAAGAACTCAGATTTGGTAAATTGTATAGAAGCACAGGATTTGGCATAATACCATTTTTGGAGGAAGTGATTTTTCTAAGTTTATAATGTGGCATAGAAAGCAATGTATGTATATAAAGGGAGTTTCTCTAACTATTGGCTTCATTTTTCTATTTGTAAACAATTTAAAAGAGTCAGTCTAATTTATTAAATTAAAATAACCATTATTTTATGTTACTCCTTCAGATTAGCATCAATGCAAATTTAAATGATAGCCAAATAAATAGACTGTGTATATTTAGAGGCATTTGAAGCTCTGATTCCAGTTTGTAAGAGACTTATGAATGCCATGGTGATTGGTTGTCCTGTCTGGTTCACTTGACCCTTAGTCATGTAAAACCCTCAGAATGATGGGCAGTGGGCATATGTTGGGCACTGTAACTGTGCTCAGCACCTACCTCTGTTGTCTTGCTGATCCTTGTAACAGTTCTGGGAGGTTCTGTCACTTCTGTTTACTGGAGGATCTAGAGACTTGGAAAGCAAAGGGTTGGCCACTTAGTGAGTATCATGAACAGTAGAGTCATGAACAATAGAGTCACTTCCTTAAGCAGTCATCTGTTACCTTGATTCCTTATAACTAGGTACATGGGCTTGAAGTACTTACACTGTTCATAGCCAGCAGTCATTGGTTAAATCTTGAGAATATGCTTCTGAGTAACAGAGCAGAATTAAACTAGGCAACTGTTAACTGATCAAATACTTGTTTATGTTTTATACATAAGCATTTATATCAGTTATGTATATGAAACTGATGTCACGTCAACCTTATGAATCACCTATGTTTGCCAGTTGGGCTTCTTAATTGATGGAAAATATGTTGAGTCTTTGTCGATTAAAAAGATAGCATGACTATGTTAAAGAAGAATCTGAAGTTATTTAAATTGAATATTCAAGTTTGTGCTAAATGATTTTTTAAACTCTTATTTCTGTGCATCCTTTTCAGAAAGCCATTCTTCAGAAAAGGAGTTAATAATGATTGCTGGAGGAAATCAAAGCATTCTGCTCTGGTTGGAGAAAGAGGTGAAAAGAGATCATGGGGTAGATGTTCTATAACTTGGTATTTTAAGCAAAACAAAGTGTAGTGAATTCTAAAACCATAAGGGGGGTACTAAACTGACTTTTGGGGAATAGCTAGACGTTATTAATCCTTTATTGTCTAAGCTACGTTAGCATTTACCCACAAAAACCAGCGTATTTGTCCCTGGTGAATATCAAATGAGTGTTTTTTCTTTAGACTACCTGTTGGAGGGCTCCTTGTTGATGGCATTTGGTCGTGTCCTAGTGAGCCAGTAGGGTGACAGATCCTAAAAATGACTTTGCCAAAGACCTAAAGTTCACAAGCTGGTAGTAAGTCCATAACTTCCCTGCCAAGGGAAATGGAGTTCCTCCCACTTCTGCCCACAGCCCCTTTAGTGTATTTCCTTCAAGGCTGTTTGATGTTCAGTTTAATCTGACTGTACTTGGATAAAATGCCGAGTGTTGGAGCACTCAGGGAAATTTATTTGGAGTCTGAGCCCCCTTGGACATGAAAGTAGCAGGCAAATGACTCCCTGTTAAAGAGTCTCATTTTGTGATTGTCCCAGAGCTGTATTATCCATATTTAAAAATCAGTTTTAGCTGGGCTCGGTGGCTCAGCCTGTAATCCCGCGCCTTTGGGAGGCTGAGGTGAGTGGATTGCCTGAGCCCGTGGGTTCGAGACCCGCCTGGCCAACTTGGCGAGATGTCATCTCTACAATAAATCAAAAACTAGCCGGGCGTGGTAGCGCACGCCTGTAGATCCAGCTACTTGGAAGGCTGAGGTGGAAGGATTGCCGGAGCCCAGCAGGTCGAGACTGCGGTGGCCGGGAGCGGCCACTGCACTCTAGTCTGGGCGACTGAGTGAGACTCCAACTCAAAAAAAAATAAAGAAATAAAAATAAAAATCAGTTTTACTCTGATTCGTAGATTGTGCCTAAAAGTTGGGTACCTATTTCTGATGTGTCTGAATTAATATATTTTACTTTTACGTTTGTTTACAGAATTCCTATGTTAATCTGAGGAGGAAAATTCCTACTTTGAATGAAGGAACTGTAAAGAGATGGATTGATGATGTGGAGACTAAGCGGTGGCAAAGTACAAAAAGGTACACCCATGTGTCTGACTGGGTGCTGGGTGTCTCTCTAAAGTGTCACTTTCCGGAATGGTTATGTGCAGTGTAGAGATGGGAGATTTTCTAATCCGCTCATGTATTAGGGTTTTCCAGAGAAACGGAAACAACAGGATATGGGTGTATATGTCTCTTAATTTATCTTTCTGTCTGTCTACTGTCTGTCTATAAGGGAGAGAGAGAGGTATTTTTTAAGGAGCTGGTGCATGTGATTGTGGGGGCTGGCAAGCCCTCAATCTGGAGGGCAGGCCAGCAGGATAGAGAAAAAAAGAAGGTTGCCTGTTGCAGTTTGAGTCCAAGGCAGTCTGGAAGTAGGATTCCCTCTTCCTAGGGCTATGTCAGTCTTTTATCATAAGACCGTCAACTGATTGGATGAGGCCCACCCAAATTATGGAGGGTGATCTGCTTTACTTAGTCCATTGTTTTATTTATTTATTTTTGAGTCATAGTCTCACTCTGTCACCCAGACTGAAGTGCAGTAGCACACTCACAGCCACTGCAGCCTTGACCTGCTGTGCTCAGACAATCCTTCCGCTTCAGCCTTCTAAGTAGCTGGAACTACAGGCATGTGCCACCAAACCCAGTTAATTTTTTTGTCATGTTACCCATCTGGTCTCAAACCCTGGGTTCAGGCAGTCCCCTTGCCTCTGCCTCCCAAAGCAGTTCACTGTTTTAAATGCTAATCTCAACTAAAAAATACCTTCACAGAAACATCTAGAATAATCTTTGACCAAATATCTGACTACTGTGGCCTAACTAAGTTAACACATAAAAGTATCCATCACTGCTAGCATATAGGCTCCACCTTCTTTTGCTATGGGAATTCTCTGGGCCTTTAATATGTTTTTGGATATTGCGACTCTGGGCAGGAAATATTTAGTCTACAGTATTTCCCAGTCCCATGTGCTCCTGGAACCACTTGATTGTGTACCTCCTAGTCATAGATGAACAGTTTGGACGGTCCTTTCTAAACCTTAGAACTCTGATGGTCTGTCAAGATTATGCTTGCTCTTATAAACATCTTCTTTTGAAGATATTTTTAGGTATGACTTCCTTTTTTTTTTTTTTGAGTTGGAGTCTCACTCTGTCACCCAGACTGGAGTGCAGTGGCACGCTCCCGGCCACCGCAGCCTTGACCTGCTGGGCTCTGGTGATCCCTCTGCCTCAGCCTTCCAAGTAGCTGGAACTACAGGCGTGTGCTACCACACCTGGCTAATTTTTTTGATTTTATTGTAGAGATGAGGTCTCGCCAAGTTGCCCAGGAGGGTCTCGAACCCGTGGGCTCAGGCAATCTACTCACCTCAGCCTCCCAAAGCGCTGGGATTACAGACTGAGCCACCGAGCCCGGCTAGGTATGCCTTTCTAATTCTAGAAAATAGTTGTACAAAAATTGCATCATAATTTGCAGAGCATAAATGATCAAGAACTATCTCTTATTCTTTGATGAAACTGAGCATACCTCCACCTTTTCATTTGATTTCTGATAATTAATTTTATTTCTACTTTAGAAGAACAGAAATAAATAAGGCTTGCATAGTTGGCGGGGTGTGAAGTTTTATTTGCCCAAGCAAGTGCTGGCCCTGGATTAAGCCTTTTCCCCTTTATCTCAGGCTTCTTTTGAGTGTGTAAACCTTTTTGTTCCCCATGTTTATCACTGAAAATTTGAGATTTAGCAACTGAAATAGACTTTTAGATGCCAAGATAATATGCACACATACCAATAGGAGACAGAGGGAGATGTTTGAAGGACAATTAAAAGATGTATGTATCATGTCTCATACTATAAAGGGGCATACTGTTTGGTTTGGTTTAACCACTATCTTATTTCTAATGTAGGGAAATCAGAGAGATATTTTCATCTCCTGCTTGTCTGACGGGAAGTTTTTTAAGGAAAAGGTAATATATATAATAAACTTAAATTCTATTTAAAATATCATAAAAGAGTACAAAAGTACGAGGGTAAAATATGTATATATTTCCTTTTTTATGCACATATATTCTTTTACCAAAAATGAGATCATACTGTTTTAGATATTGCTTTATACTTAATTTTTGTCCATTTTTCATTTTATTCAATTTCTGTGATCAATATTTTTCTGTAACATCATTTAAAATCTACGTGATGTTCCCTGGGAAGGTCATACCTTAATTTATTTAACCATTTCTTTATTGCTAGATAATAAGGGTTTTTTGAATTTTTAAACATTAGGAAACTTTGTAATTCTTTTCCCAAACATTTTTATATTATATTTATTTTTCTTTAAAATATTTTCCCAATTTTAGGCACTAAATATATGTATTATTTTACAAAGACTGTGTCTGTTTTTAGACAGTGAAACTGTTGTCAGCATAAACATGATTGATGGGTTAAGATACTTACACATTTCATTAATAATTTTCTATTGAAGTACTAAGAATTTACTGTCCTGAAGCCCTTTGTTCTGGTCCCACTTTTCAGTTCTTGTAACTGGAAGAAATTATTGTTTTTTCATAAGCAGGAAAAACCTTTATTTTTTTCTGTGACATTTTACTGGGAAATAAATATTTATTAATAATTTATCTTAGATAAGACAGTGTCTGAGTTAAAGTCTTATAGTATATAGGAAGTCCCTAACATGCAAAAGAATTCCATTCTGAGAGCTCGTTTGTAAGTCCAATTTGGTTTAAGTCCAACTTAGCCTAGGTACCCAACTAGCACAATCAGCTAGATAATACTGTATGTTTTTAATGGGCTACACTGACACCTGGTGGAGAGATATAATACATAAAAGCAGGTATGCATCTTAAAAGTTCATAACATGAAGGTTCCTATGTAGTGGACTTACTGTATATAGTTAATGCAGCATTGATATTTTTTGGTATTTTAGAAAATAATCGTGTTGCCTCTTGCATTTTCAATTGTATTTGTATTCAGCCAAATTATTACATTTATTACAAAGTTGAGAAAAAAAGGTAATTTTATTGAAATGGGGTAAACTCCAGAAGAAAACTTTGCATTTATTTATTTATTTATTTTGAGTTGGAATCTCACTCTGTCGCCCAGACTGGAGTGCACTGGCCGCTCCCGGCCACCGCAGCCTCGACCTGCTGGGCTTCCAATTAACTGGAACTACAGGCGCGTTCTACCACGCCCAGCTAATTTTTTGATTTATTGTAAAGACGAGGTCTCGCCAATTTGCCTGGGCGGGTCACGAACCCGTGGGCTCAGGCAATCCACTCACTTCAGCCTCCCAAAGGCACGGGATTACAGGCTGAGCCACTGAGCCCAGCTGAAAACTTTGCATTTAGATAGATAATCTAATAAAATACTTAATTTTGAAGTGTCCTTTTTCATTTACTTATCCACTTATTTACTTTGTCCGACAGAAGAGCTACAGACGCAATGTCTATTCGTTTGGACTTAAATAAAGCAAGAAGCATCTTTAACGAGTTAACCCAAAAGGACTGGATTACTAATACGGTGGTATTCTTCAGATTGTTATTTGGAAGAAAAAGTACATTCGAACATTTCTTATAAGTAACTAAAAATTTAAGAATAAATGTTTCGTTTAAAAGATTTTCTGAGACCTTGTAGTGTATGCAGTTAAGTTAAACTCAGATAGCAATCAGGGGTTTGCTCATTTAGGATGATATAGTTGGTTAGTAGTCACATAGTGACTAATAGTAGTCAGATAGTCTAGTGCATCTGTACACTAACATACAATACATGCATATACATTCCTAGAAGGGTTGTTTTTAACTCATGGCTTTAGGAAGATTACTAAGGATTTGTTGAGATTGGCACACTAGAATAAGAACATTTTATATGCAATTCTTTTAAGCAGAAATATAGAAATGAGAACACTTTTGATAGGCATATTTCCCCTAACCAAGGACTGCCTGAATTCTTCCTCTGTGTTTTGTCCCATTGCACTTTCTTTTCTGTAGGTTCTAGGATATGCTTGTTCTTTCTGGGACTGTTGCTTCTTGTTTCAGCACCATTACTACTGTCTTTAGGTTTTCCACATGCAGATGCTTCACACATGCGTCCTTTATTAATTTAGCCTTTCTTAATTCAGCCTTTATTAACTTACTTCCCTGTTTTTTTTTTACTGGTTGACCTATGGATGGCATTTCCTGTGTTGTTCTCAATCTTTTTCTATGTCTTACTGTAGTTTCTTTTTTTTTCTGTCTCTCCGTTCTTCCTCTTTTTCCTTGCCCCCTCCATCACCCCACCTCAGTCTCTGTTTATATCTTTCTTATCTCTCCCTCTCTATCTTTCTCTGTTCTCTTCACCCTCTCTCTTTTCAGTTCCCTCAGCCTACTCTGTTGCTCTGTCTGCCACAGCCAGCATTCTCTATTTTAGCTGAAAAGGTTCTGTCTCATACACTTTTTTCTTTCAAGGGAGGAAGGAATGTTTAATTCTGTTAACTCTGGCAGAACTATGGCTCTACGAGGGTTCTGAAGTAAAGTGGATCTCTAATTATGTCCCTTTATTGGTACTCTACAGTGCTTAGTGCTGTCTGTAACATTCGCTCAAGAACTACCTTGTGGACTATTTTATCAACATTTGTTTTTGCTTATTTTCTTTGATTATTTAAACTCCTTCTCTTGGCACCAGTTGAGCTTTTTTCAGTAAGATTCTGAGTCATTGCTACTGAATACAGCCATGTTTTGAAATCTACCAAAAATAGAAACCCATTTCTGCATCTGTAAAGGGAAAGGGTTGGATCAGTTCATCACTAAGGGCTCTTCCTGCTTACTTAATATCTTAATTGTGCAGAAAATAATGATATGTAAATGACATAATCATAGGGCATTCTTCACCTTCTTGTTTCAGAAGAGATGGTAGAGATAGTTGGATTAGAAGACCTGTAATGCTTCTTTCTCTTGAGATTCTGTGGTATGGACTCTCAGGCTGTTGGCATGTGTCATTTACTCTGCAAACATTTGATTACTTGCTATATTCAGGGCACTGTAATGGTGACACTTGAAAAACAAGACTCCTTTTGGAAGCTCATAGTTCAGCAGGGAGACTGGCACATGTATACATTAGTGCAAACACTGGGTATGTCTTACAGCCTACTGTCTTCCCTAGTGTCTGTGTACAGTAAATATTTTTAGATGAGTTCAGTTATTAGGGCAGTGAAAGGGAACTTTCCTTACTCAAAGCAAGCTGCCCAAAGAAATTAGGAGTTTACCAGGCAACTGCATGGGGAAGGGCATTCTAGCCAGCCAGGAAAGTGTATACCAAGGCACAGTGTATGAAATGACAAAACGGGCTTGAGAATATCACAGTAGTTATGAAGGGGTTAGAGTGGGCAGGGAAGGTTGGGGATGTGGCTTGAGGGATGAGCAAGGAGTGCGTGCCATAGAGATATTAAATAAAGTTGTCAGATGTGTGTAACTCCAAGGACAGAACCTCATCATAGAAACCCAATATAATGCTTTAATGTAACAATTTGTATATTTAGGGCCAGGTACAGGTGCAGCTCATGCCTGTAATCCCAGCACTCTTGGGGACTGAGGCAGGGGGATTGCTTGAGTCCAGGAGTTTGAGACCAGCCTAGGCAACATAGCAAGAGTCTCTGTAAAAAAATTAGCTGGTTGTGGTAGTATACACCTGTAGTCCCAGCTACTCAGGAGGCTGCTGCAGGAGGATTGCCTGAGCCCAGAAGGTCAAGGCTGTGGTGAACTGTGATTGTGCCACTGTACTCTAGCCTGAGACCCCAACTAAAAAAAAAAAATGCATTTAGAAACATCATTTAGCCAATATTATAATATAATGATTAAGAGTTTAGGCTTTGGAGTCAGAAAGATGCAGGAATTCCCATTTAGTTGTGTGACTTTGAGCAGGTCACTCAATTTCTCTGAAGCACAGATTTCTCATCTGTGAAATGGGATTAATAATATCTATGTTATGGAGAAACTACAAGGATTAAATGACCTAATATATGTAAATCACTTAGCACAATATCTGACAAGTAGTAAGTACTTCATAAATAATAGCTTTGTCTTCATAGTGGGATCTTAATACTATCTAAGCATACATAACAAAAATTCAGAATTTCACTTGAATTTTTCCTGAAAAGTTGAATTCTGAATTGAGGAAATTACAGGGAGATTAGAAGGGCTAGAAACTAGAGTTTGTGGTGGAGACAGATGGGCCTATGGGGAGATAATAGCAAAACCATGTAAAATTTTGTTGTTGAGATTGTTACTTTTTGTTTGTCTTTTGATTTTTATTTTGTTTTGTTTTTTTTTTGGATTCTGATACATCCTTCCTCTAAAAATACCGAGATGTGATAGTGTGAACGAAGGTGTAGGACATATTACTTATTGTTGAGAGGGCTGCCTGGTCCGAATCTACCGTTCATGCAGTGTAACTCTTGCACGTGTGATTTCTTCTTGATCTTCTTCCTGTACCCCAGCTGTTGAATTGGGAGAATACTTGTCATATTCCCAAATTTGGGAGGATAGGTGAAATGAGATGTAAACAAGGATTTTAGAAAAAATAAATGATTATTCCGATTTAATGGCAGAATGGAATTTGAGGTCTTATACCTTCTTTTATTACCATAAGTTGCACCCAGTTCTGGCTGAGTTTTGAATGTCTTTTCTCTGATCATTTCTGACCACAGATAACTACCTGTCTCAGGGAGAGTCTTCTCAGAAACCTCCCATTTCGTTCTCCACACCAAGAAGCTTTAGAAGTTTTCTTCCTTCTACCAGAATATCCTGTGATGCATTATTCCAACAACTGGGAGAGCCTGGTGGTTCCATTTGCCGTGACTGTTTGTAAAATGAGTGCCCAGTCTTTATGGGGTCTAGGTAAGATTGATGATTTGAAAATACTTTCTTCTTCTTCTCAATGGAAAGGCATGCCTAGTACAATTTTGGAAAAATGTAGATAATTCTAAGGGCATTCATGGTTTTTAGTTCATGGGTTAGCATACCCTAAAATACTGTGATAATTACTGGGATTATCTAAAGCAGATTTTTCTAGTACCTTTTTAGAGCCCTTGAAATGATAGATGCATGCATAGCTTGGTCATGATGAGGTCCTTTGTCCTCAACTTTCTGTTATGAAAAATTTCACAAACACTAAGTTGAAAGAATAGTCCAGTGACTACTCAGTACTCTCTGATTTTATTGTTTTTTGATTTATTGTTGTCAGCAACAATAGATATGCTGCCATTTGTGCCTTCTCTTTGTTCATGTACAGATTACATTTTATTTTTGCTGAGCTATTTGAAAGTCAGTTGGAGACATGAGAGTTTGCCCATGTTTCAGCATTCATCTAAGAATATGGAACCCTACATTATTGTGGCATTATTATCATACCTAAGAAAATCAGCCACAATTCCTTAATATTGTCTAACATTCAGAGCATTCAAATTTCTAAACTTCCCTCCAAAAGAATTTTGTAGCTTTTTTTAGCCAAGCATGGTGGCTCATACCTGTAATCCCAGCACTTTAGGAGGCAGAGGTGAGAAGACTGCCTGAGTCCAGGGGTTCAAGACCAGCCTGGGCAACTTGGTGAGACCTTGTCTGTACAATAAATCAAAAAATTAGCCAAGCATGGTGGCATGCATCTGTGGTTCCAGCTGCTTGGAAGGCTGAAATGGAAGGATCGCAGATCACTTAAGCCTAGCAGGTCGATGCTGCGGTGGCTGTGAGTGTGCCACTGGACTTCAGCCTGGGTGACAGTGTGAGACTCCTACTCAGAAAAAAAGAATTGTATAGCTTTTTTAAAATAGAGAATTCAAGACAGTTGTCTTATAGCATGTCCCACACCCAGAATGTCTGATGCTGTCTTCCTCTTCCTGTATCTCTAGTACATTTGGAG